ACGAAAGGGTTTTCTGTTTTTTGAGCTGCTTCGCAAGACGATTTTCCCTATGGGCTTGCTTCGCAAGACGGAAACGTCTTGCAAGTTTGTTTCCTTTTTCTTAACACCGTTAATACAGTTGCGACTTGACTTCGAGGAGCAACTCATAGAACGCGGTGTGGTAGCCTTTTTTGAGGTTTTTAAAGACTTTGGTGATTTTGAAGCTTTCCCGACACCGTGCTTCGCAAGACGAAAAAAATCGCAAGACGACAAAACTCGCGGAACGAATTAATTCTGTCTTGCGAGGCACCACTGTATCTGGCTAGCTGAGACCGAAAACAGAGTGCTGAACTAGATAGCTTGGAATGATCCAGCAAGAAAATGCATATGTCCACAAGTGAAAGTTTTCGAATAAAATGAGGGAGCAGGCCATTGTAAGTCAGAATTTTCTACGCCTGAGAGAATGACACAGCTAATGCGTAAAGCAGAGGAAGGAATGCATAGAATGTCATTTCCCCTGCTGGATAGGGTAACCTAGTAATCTAATCAGCAGGTTGTGGTTATTTAGAGACTCTGGAACTGCATATAACATCCAAAGCCTGGCAGGATTGACTCAGCTCTTCTTCCAAGGGAAAAGGGGAGAGCACAATACAGCTTGCTGTTAGGAGGCTCTTTGAAGAAAACCTTTGAAAGAACATTCATCCTTAATTTCTTTTTGGAAGAATAAAGTTCTCAACCCACATTCCTGCAGTTATCTGCCAGGCCTAATAACGTTAGCTTGCTTACTGGTGGTCTGCTTTCTACACAAAGTAAAATTACTGCCAACACCGGGGCTTCCCTTACCATCCCTGTGTGTGGCACCTGTGCCGTGCAAGGACCACTGGCCCCCACAGCATGTCAGGTCTTTATAAATGCCTATGGCTCAGTTGTTCAAGAAATGTAAAAAGGTCAAACATAGTTGTCATTCTGTTGCACATAGATTTTGAGGAGTACCTTGGGACGGTTATAAAAACATTCTTAGATGCTTAATCATCTTTGGCAAACTTAGTTAGTAGATGTGATGAACCAGGCTCTTGCCTACGAAATCTCACTTTAACAAATGTGCTGGCGTTTAAGGAGCCACAATATTTTATTGTTTTTTTGCTGCAACAGACTAGCATGGCCACTCTTCTAGAATTTTTATATCTTTGCAGCAAACTTACTCAGTGCCATTAGGCAAGCCGTGAGCACTCAACCCCAGACCCCATTTGCTATATGAGGATAATAATGCTGGCCATCCTTACAGGGGTGTTGTATACTGAAGGAATGCATGTGGTGCACCTTAAGCACAAAAGTATTTTTTTAAAATAAATGCTGATTATTATAATGTGACTGTTTGCTAACCTAGAAGGACTTCACCATAATTTCACACGTTATAGGAGCAGCATGAAAGAACATTAGCCTCTCAGCTTGGTGCAAAAGGGGAGGAGACAGGCTTTGCTAGCATCATTTTACAACTGACAGCTTAAGTATCCTATAAGAAGCCTGGTGATCTCTGCCAGGTAACTTGTTTACTCCCGATTCAGTGACCTAGGCTCTGGAGTGCAGTGCCTGCTCTTGGACGTCCTACACCTACAAGCGTTTCTCCATTTCAACTCAGTGCTGAGGAACTGGGCACACAGCATCCTGTGCCATTGAAGTGGCGCAGGGGACTATGAATTGGCACAAATAACTTTGCCACAGCTGGCAACAATATTAAGAAGTAAAAGTCTCAGTGGAACTTAGCTGAATTTTGTAGCTCTGAGTCTTGCACCCTTCAGGATATTTTTGCATTTAATTTGCCCCACAAATACTTTTTTGCAGGAGAGCTTGTGAGGGACAAATATCAAGTCCTCAAATGAATCTTTCTCTGCCCATTCTTAGTTCCAAAGAGTAGAAGCTGCTCTGTTAAGTATTTATTTTTTTAAACTGACCTGGTCAGCAAAACCCCAGTAGGAAGATGCTCAGTTGGAATTTCAGCTTCATAAACTGTCTTCAAATCCATCTGCAGCATCTTTCTCTCCCTGAAATCCAATGGCCCTGAAGTGCAAGGCTGGTTTAATAACATCTGTTCTCCCTGAATTACTGGAGGAAAGTATTGATATAGCCATATTGTCAAGAAGTAATTTTAATCATGTTTTGACAGGGCAATTCTTTACCACAGCGTTGTCAGTAAAAATGTTTATGTTACTTCGCTGTTATTATCCTTCGTAGTGGCATGGTAAAACATTGCACATGTGCTGGAAATGAAGGCAGTGCTTAGGATTTTATGATTTAGTATTTATGGGAATTCCTTTGCGGATTGTCATCTTTTCCAAAGGATAATAGCATCCTGTGGTCTTGTCATCAAGTGCAATTTTCTCCTAATAGCTCTTGTGATTAAACCACAAACAAAACTATTTTCCACAGTTTTGTTCTTTCCTTCCTCATTCCTAGAAGAAGAAAAACAGGGTGGTGGTGGTGAATGGTATCTAGTCATTGGTACCTTAGAGAACCCCTGCCCTGTATGTTATGATTTCTTATGGTGGTGGCTTGTGAGATAATGTTGTACTTGGGGATTAAAATATGCTTATACTGCTTTAGTTATGATGAAACCAGGCATATTTTGAAAAATCTGAAAACGCACAGAAGCAGCAGAAAAAAGCAGGCCTTTGTTCTTAGGGTTTGCCAAATCAGGACCCAGAGGTTATGTGGGTGGTTTTAGAAAACCCCTTTGCCGTGAGAAAAGAGGTAGCCAGAGCTGCTTCTGCCTGTTTGTGAACCGTTCTGGAAGATTGGCTAATGCCATCTTGGTAGTCAAGATAACCCCACAATTAATTGGTAGTTGTTGCAGCAATGAGCTCATATATGTTTATACTCACTTGCTTTGATATAAGTTAATGGGCTTGCTTTGATGTAATCCTTATCTGTGAGCTTGGGGTGCTGGGCTCTGAGCCCAGAAAAGGGGAACTATCTGTCAGACTTGGGTATTTGCCACCCATGCTCTCATCTGGGCAGGTGAAGCGACGGGAAGGCCTAGACAAAGTGACGTTTGCTGCTTTGTGTATAAAGAATGTATGCATGTTTGTTTGGGCATGGACAAGCCATCTCCTTTCTGTGGTGTCCACCCCACGTCTGCAAAGGCTGAGGGTGCTTACCTTTTTCCTCTCTTGAGAAGTACATAGAGCTAATGCAGGAAGTTGGAAGAGTTATTGGAAGAGCTCAGATTAATTTTACTGGATCCAACGTTTACCTGCATTGCTTGGAAATGTAAGGCATGTGTGTGCATGTGCATGCTTTCTCTTTCTATGTCTCTGTGGGAAGGGCCCCCATCCAGGAAGGTGGGAGTGAAGGGATCAGAGGATGGTACCCATGACGCTTGCTCAAAAGCCCTAATGTCCCCATGGGCCTAGAAAGGTTTGTGATATATGACTTGTGCAATTCGGACTAGATGTAGTGCCATCTGTTTCTAGATAGCAATATATAAGGGAGGAGGAATTGAGAGTAGGTGTAGTAAGGATGAACTGCTCCATTTGTGTTGCATAGCGTATCACTGTAGTTACATCCAGCACGGTTAGCTGCGATGGTGTGTTCACAGCAGGGTTTCTGTACAATTGGTGTGTGAATCTCTGCTGCCCTTAATATTCTTTTTCTCTCAATATACTTGGTTCAGTGGACAGTAGGAAAAATGCTTTGAATTAACCAAGGATACTGTTCTTAAAAAATAAAGGAAAGCACAAGAGTTCTAGGAATAAGTGTTCCTAGAAATAACTTGGGCCATGTCTGCCTTACAGTTTATATGGAGTGCAATCTGATTTCCATGCACATCTGACCTGTGCACAGATGTGCATTCACCCTTATGCACCATAGCAGAGAGTTAATTGATGTAGATGCAATGGGTTGGTATGTAACATGGCATCTGGCATACTTCTTCCTCTCGGGAATCATTTGTTTTGCAAACAACTTCCACACCTGCATGCAAATACTGTGAGAGGGACGCATAGGTTTTTTTTTTAGTGTTATGTAGAAACAATGCCACTTACCGTGAGCTCTGACCATTGAGATACCTGCACACCCACCCACTTCGTATGTACCAGCGGAAAGAGTGGTAGTGATAATGTGCAGCACAAGTGAGGCTTTGAATAATTGGAAGGCAGTTGGCTTGCGGTATGGACATAAATGAACTGAAGTAAAGATTAGCTTCTTCCATCTTAGAGATTTGGTGGTGATCTTGTGGTGTGCACCTCCCTCTCTCCTGTTTGAATATGAAATTGGGTTTGTGCCAAAAAATAAACCTCCAGAGTGGCTTCTTGTGCTTCTGGAGTGTGCTGGGGCATATCCTGATGTGGATCCTCTAGTTTAAACAGGCAATGGTTCATTGGTTTGGGCACTAAAGTACTGTAATGTAACTACTGGCTTGTTGAATGGAGCCAGCCACCATGTGGTTCAATTTTCAAACCATTACCATGGGGCTATTGCTTGTCCAAGACTACGTCTCCCCTTAGCAAAATAATTTCCACCTTTTATTTGACATCAAGTCAAAGATTGATGCTGTTGCTGCTGTGGGCCATGGATGATTTCTAAAGGGGTTCTCCCAAACTTTTCATCAACTCATTTGCTCCATTGGGCAATTGGCTATAAGTAAGTGCTGACCTTGATCCAGATTTAGATGCATGGTATCCTTGAGTTCTCCACGCCTCAGTGATGGACATTCCTCAAATTTGTATTTATTGTAGAATTGGTTTGAAAGTTTTGGTTTCCACGAATTCTGCATGATTAAAAATAAAATACACCCAAGTGGCAGAGGGATTTAGAAGAGAAGTGTTACTGCACCTTAAACTGCAGTGGTTCAGTGATGTTCTTTTTCACTCTTTAAGCCCCTGGTAATTCTCTTGTCATTAGGCTAAGTATTCACTGGTATGGTTGGGTTAATGCGATGTGTGGATATCCTGAGATAACAGTGATTTGGTGCCATAATGAGTTTCCTGAACAGTAAGTGTAATATTCACTTTCTTTTGTTACAGATGGAAGAGAAACGGCGAAAGTACTCGATCAGCAGTGATAACTCAGACACCACTGACAGTAAGACCTTTAATTCAAGGCTTTGAACAAGATAACTAAACGATTCACCTCCAGCAGGGAAAGCATTTGAATAATTACTTTGCAGACAGCCGGGGAAAGCTACATTTTACTGGGTAGTCCCTGAACAATAAATTGTACTTGGGGATTGCTTTTCAAAATATGCTACAAGACGTTAATATCCACTTGCATATCTGGCAGTGGGGTGCCTTTTGTCTGATCTAAGTGTCCTTCTCCTCCTGTGAACGGTGCGCAAGAGGAAGCCATAAAATAAAACTGATTATAAAACTTTGACTCAGACAAAACCCTTGATAGACAGCACACTGCAACCTATCTTCTCTCATAACAGCTTAGTCAAAGGACACTGGGCTTCAGGAAGGAGCAAGTGTTTGAAATAAACTTAACTTTAAAACCAAAGTAGTCTTTGGCAAGGCTGGAAGCTATCTGATGGCTACGTTACAGGAACAAAAACTGAGGAAGACACCAAACACAAGGAAGCCAAAAAGAGGCGAAGCCTCCAAGTGGTGCTTAGAAGTACAGCATTTTAATTGAAAGATGCAACATGGTCAACACATTTGACATTCCATGTTCAATAAAGTGTTCTGTTTCCAAGCATAATTTTGAGTACTGTATGGGAACTGTTCTGGCTCAGTTTTCCATCAGTAAATTGTGTAGTTTAGGCTCTTAGCACTTCAAGGGCAGAATGTTTGTTGGCATAAAAACAAACTGTAGGTGGTTAAACTGGGCATATTGTAGGAATTAGTTTGGGATGTGCAACATGAACACAATTTACTTTAGTGTGCAAATATTATGGACTCTTCTCCGTAACTTCCCATGCTCAGTTACCTTTAAACAAGCTACAAGATGTGGCATTTAAAACCGTGTGACAATGTGCAGCTACTGTCACTTCCTGGAAAAGGAAGGTCATGGCTGTGTTTACAGTTACTCTGCAGGAGAGCATTTGTCAACAGTTAAAACATCACCTACTGCATAAATACCAAAGTCCAACTGAGATAAGGTGGTGCAGTTTAATACTGTGATTAACAATGTTTTAACCCCTCAAGAGCCCTAAAGCTCTCCTGAAAAGTTTTTTAGAGGCTTATTTTTTAGGGTTAATTAAAAGCCTGGTGCTGAGAGGAAGGGGTGATAGTTCAGGGATAGAGCATGTGCCAGGCAGGCAGAAGGTTGAATGGCTGGCATCTCTTGTTAAAGGATCTCTAGTAGCAGCACTACCTGGGAATTGAGTGCAGCCTCCCCCACTGGTGCTTTGCAGTTGTTGTTAGACTCCCAACTCCCACTCAGTCAGTATTGTAAATGGTCAGGGACAATGGGAAGTGTAGTCCAGAGGCTCTGGAGGCCACCAGGTTGGTAAAGGCTGATTTAAACAAGACACTGCCAACTGAGTGGACAATCCTGGTCTAGATGTTCTAACTCAGTAAGAATCAGCTTCATGTGTTGTGCTTTGCCTCTTGAGTTAGCCATGTGAGGCTGGATGATTCCACTCTTGGGATCAGACACTTCCTGGGGATTTTCACTTGCTGACCCAAACTTCTAGGTGGAGTTTAACATTTCTTCCATGTTTAACTTTTTAATACAGGTACACATCCAGGACTTGATACATTCAAATGCAAAATGAGCACAGCATATTATTACACATCTTTCATTATGTCTATACACATCTTTATACGCAAGTGTCTTTCTTAAAAGAATAACCAACCACCTCTTAGAATAGAGAGAGAGTCCAAAAGCTATATGCAAGTACAGGACTATGATCTGCAGTGTTCTTTAACTCATGTAAGAGTAGCAAAACAGTACAAAAATTGACTTGCATTAGGTTTTGGGGTAGGTTTCCCCACAGAGATGTTTTCAGAATAGTATGCATGGGTAGGGCTCAGCATGGCCTATATAGAACTACTTCCATAGCCTTTTACCCCTTGAGGACAGTGTATGTGCACCACTACACATGCCGGCATGCTGGCAAAGAGTTCATTTACCCATTCAGATTTATAAGTGTCAGACTCAAGGAGGAGTTGACATGTGGGAGGGAAAGTTTGCCCTCCTGACCCACAGAATAAAGCACGTTTATTCTGAACCGAGAAAGCCAAAAGAGATAAATGGCAGCATAAGGTTCTATGTTATGATTTAATTGGAACAAGTCAAGCAACAAGGACCTTTTTAGCCTGCGGGGACTTTTACTGCAATGGCAACAGCAGCTTCCCCCCCTCTTTTTTTTTTTTTTTGCAGACTCTCTGCATGGAGAGCCTTTAAAAAAATTGTAAAGGTGTGATCTCTAGCACTTGAGAGGATCAGAACAGAGCTTCTGCATAAACTATTTAAAGCAACAGCTAAAAGAGCAAGTTTCTGTGGCCTTCCTCTAAATAGCAGAACCACATAACAATGGATGGTTTTATCAAATACCCTGGCTGGCATCTTAAATTGGATTAGAAGAGACTTAACACAATTAACAACAGTTTGTAATCCTTGAATGTCTGCAACCTGTAAAATCCACTCATTCCGTGACTGCTTGTGTGAGTACTCAGCACCTCATGTGAAGTACACTTCAATGACCAATAAAATTAAGGCTTGTTGATGACACTTGAGTTGCTACAAGGGCTCTTGCCGGGCTGCTTCATTGTAGACCTTACCATGTCTAAAAGTTGCCATTCTTGTCACTTGGTAAAGCACCTGAGTGGAGTTGCTCTAGCAAGAGACTCCTCCCAGGGCCATAGGAAGCTGCCTTAAACTGAGTTTATCTATATTGATCCATCTAACTCAGTATTGTCTACATTGACTGGCAGTGGCTCTCCAGGATTTCATGCAGGGCTGTCTCCCAGCCCTACCTGGAGACGCCTGTGGGGCTTGAACCTGGGAAATGCTTGCAATGATGGAGCAATCTGCTTAGCTGTGTTGAATCCTTCACTTTGGGTCTGCATAGGTTGGCTCACAGTGACTGAGATATATGATTAGCACGGGGGCGGGGGAGCAGGAAGGAATCACCCAACAAAGAGTTAGAGCTAATTAAAAACCTCAGCTTTGTTATGAGATTTCCACTAAGGTTTGTCCACTCTTATTAGGCTTAAAGCTACTAGCCCATAACTGAAGCAACACTTGATGCTTCACCTGGATTTGTATTTTCTTAAGACCCAGATGCTTGTCCAAATTAGAAGCATTTGAAGTACAATAGCTACACACAGGATATTCAAGAGCATCATTTAGGACAGTGGTTCTCAACCTGTGGGTCCCCATATGTTGTTGGACTACAACTCCCATCATCCTTGAGCTCTGGCCTTGCTAGCTAGGGGTGATGGGAGTTGTAGTTCACCAACATCTGAGGACCCACAGGTTGAGAAAGGCTGATTTAGGAGAAACCTATTTCAGGGGTCCCTTTACCTTTACCTTTATATTTCCAATCAAATAATGCATCTAGCAAAGAGATAATTCAAACAAGAGGCAACAGGAGAAAAACAAAGCTGCTGGCCTCATGTAGAACCAGTTTCACCCAGTCGCTTTCTCAGAGGTTCTGGTGCATTGAATTCTTCTCCTCAGCAACACAGTTGGTGTTCAGATTGCAGTCCATAAGTCCTGAAGAATCTTCAACAAATGAACTGTAAATATCTTGTTAGACACCAGTTAGATGGTGATTAGACTTTTCTTCATGGAGGTCTTGCTGTTGTTATCTTAATGAATTTTGTTTTCGTTTGAAGGTCAGACAACATCAGCCTCAAGATGCTCCAAAATTCCAAATACAAAATCCGGTTGGTCAAGACAGAAGGAGAAGAAACCCTCAGAGGTAGGTTGCATTTCATCTTTCTATTCAGCCTCTGTGTTTGGCATTTGTTGTGTGTGTGTGTGTGTGTGTGTGTGTGTGTGTGTGTAGGTTTAAATACAAAAAGTAATTTTCTCAAACCTGAAGTTAAGGGCAGCCCTTGACACACCAGCAGGGATCAGAGACACTAGAAGGAAGCCCATATCTCTCTCCTTAGAAATACATAAACAGTTCTAGTGAACTCCCATCTGAAGATGCAGAAAGCACATTAGGTGACTATCCAGCACCATTTTAGTGCAGGGCCAGAACTCTGCTTCTCATAACACCTCTCCAGCTAACAGCTGTAGTTGGGGCTAGATCTGGTCCGAGGAATTACAGCTATATGATAGTTCCCAGTTGAGCTTTGCTAGAGCTGTCTGTCTAGTTGCTGTCCTTGGTCCTGCAATACCTACTATCTGTTGGCTTTCATTGCACTTTTGATCCAGGTAAACCCCTAGTTCATCCCAAACTTGAGTCCAAGTCAAATGAAAGCCTCTGCAGACAATCATTCACTGTCATTTGTATTCTGGTTCCACTTTTTGTCTTGACGTGGTAAAACCTTAATTACATGTTTATTCCTTGATATGCTTACATATGTATATATTTTAATTTTGCACACTGGTGTGGAGCTGTTAGGTAAGCTGTGACCAAGCAGAAGGCATCCAGAGTTGTGGTATATGACCATCCACAGAAAGACTTGGGGACAGTCCAGTAAATGGCTTTCCATGAAGGTAAAGGGACCCCTGACCGTTAGGTCCAGTTGCGGAGGACTCTGGGGTTGCGGCGCTCATCTCGCTTTACTGGCCGAGGGAGCCGGCGTACAGCACTTATCTACTTGCACTTCGTGCTTTCGAACCGCTAGGTTGACAGGAGCTGGGACCGAGCAACAGGATCTCACCCCGTCGCGGGGATTCGAACCACCGACCTTCTGATCGGCAAGCCCTAGGCTCAGTGGTTTAGACCAGAGCGCCACCCGCATCCCCTTCAAATGGCTTTCCATAGAGCCCACTAAAACCTAGGGCTAGCCTTGAGCATATCGTTTGTAGATGATGGAATGTTACCACCCTTGCAGCACTCATGGATCAGTCTAATGTGTGAATGAGCCTGACACAGTGGGAAATGCTCCAACAGACTTCCATATGGCTTCCAGTTTCTTTAGCTATTTTAAGACAATAGCTAAATTTGACTGGATGACGAGTATTCTCAGTAGACCACAGTTTAGAGTTATCCTACATCTCCCAACAAAAAGCAGTTTGTGTGTGCATTTGGGTGGTGCCAATTTTAACTACAGATGCAGTGCTGCACTAGTGGTGTTTGGGATGAAGACTCCATGTAGTGCAGGAACGAATGTATTTGGTTTATTCTAACGTTCATTGGCTGTGTTTCCACTGAAAACCTTGCTTAAGGCAATGCACAATAAAATTAAATGCACAGAATAAAAGAAGCAAAACAGCAAACTACAACTCAGCAGAGAACGAAGATCAAATTCTATGCATCAGTTACATTTTTTAGTTTCGCTGCCTGGTATTTGTGGTGAGGAACAGCTCATTTGACAAGAAAGGTTAGTTATACATATTTCTCTAGGGCCTCAGGAAGTGTGTGACACACAGTACCCAACAGAAGAATCAGATTCCTCGGAGATGAGGTGAATCACTCATCACAAGCTGAAGGAGAAACAGCCTGGCCCTTTCAAATGACAACTCAGGGTTGGAAAACTCTTCTCTTTGGTTGCCTGAGGTGTCACTCTCCATTGCTCTAGCAAATACCATTCCTTTTCAAGATACCACGTTTCAGGAATTATGTCTTTGCACAGACTGAGAATACACATTACTGTAGACTGCAAACATGAATTTTGTTGCCATGTGGGAAGAACTGGCTGTTCATGGTGAACAGGAAAGAAGATATAACGGGTGCTTTTAACACATTTATTTATTGTGGCTACACCTGTATGTGCGGTTACTGAGATAGAAAGGAATCAAAAGCATATAGACAGGCTTGAATAAAATGGCCTTATGGGATCTAAAAAACATTCCCTGTCATAGCACTGGTGAATCTTCACTGTAGTGTAAGCATTATTAAATATTTGTTTCTAAATTTTAGATTATTTTTTTTTAAAAGTACTTAGAATTAGACAGCACTTTCAAGCACTCCACATACAGTGACTTGGATCCCAAGTTGGCTCCTCCATTCACACCAGGGAGATGGCAGTTTTTGACTGCACCCCCCCATCCCAAATCATCCCCAAAGGTTTCACAGTCCCCAGGAGCATATTTTAGGGGACATCAGAGGAAAGCTGAGGCATGAAAGCCCATGATTGTGAACTCTGTTGTGATCTAAGCCATTACAATGATAAACTCCTTACAACAACCCTGCAAGGTGGGTGTGTATTTTCAGCCCCCGTGCTGTAGATGAAGAAGAGTTTGGATTTTGGATTATCCCGCCTTTCACTCCCTTAAGGATGTCCCAGAAGCGGCTAACATTCTCGCTTTCCCCTTCCTCCGCCCACAACTAAACACTCTGTTGAGGTGATGGGGTGAGAGACGTTCAAAGAAGTGTGACTGGCCAAGGTCCCAGCCAGCAGCTGCTGTGAAGGCCAACCACATGACTTGCCCTAAAGCTAGACATTAACAGCAGATGAAATACTCTGGGACCTGCTGATTCATAGCTCAGTCCTTTAGCCACTCTGCCACATTGACTCTCCAAATGAGCTAAGATGCCGTCTCTGGCACACTAAAAAGCAGCCCTGGATTCTGGAAGGCGTGAGATCCAAGATGAACGACCCTAGGACTGTCCCTCTTGAGGCCGTGTTCTAGTTCCATCTTTGAGCTGAGATGCCCTTCTTGTTTCCTCTAGATAGAAGCATAGGCAGGAAAGATAAGGAATCAAAGGCATTAGTGCAACACAGTCATTAGCTAAATCAAGAGTGGTGCTTATTATGAAAGGCTGTGTGACAAGGGATTAGCTATATGCATTTGCAGTGCAACTGGAAAAACGAGCTTCTTTGCAGAGGAAAAAAACACACCAAGCCTTTTGTCAACACTGAGGTCATTATGCAGCATTATCAGGACACCCAGCAACAAGCCTGAGGCCCGTTCCAAACAGTCAAGGTAGCTGCCATGTATCTGTGGAGATGGTGAGACTATAGAGTCCTAACATAATATAGGCTTCTGCTTACATATGTGTTAGCAATGTGGTTTACAAACGTGTGCCATAATGGCTCTCCTTTGGCAAGACTCTCTCTCTCTCTCTCTATATATATATATATTCCTTTTGACAGCCTGAAGATGTATTTGAGTGGTGATAAAGCATAGTGAAATCGTAGTATGGATGCAATTGCAAGGCTTTTCACTGTTCACCTGTGTCTGTTCCTCTTATTTTGGCTGCCACAGCACAGGTTAGCCAGATACAGTGGTACCTCGCGTTACAGACGCTTCAGGTTACAGACTCCACCAACCCAGAAATAGTACCTTGGGTTAAGAACTTTGCTTCAGGATGAGAACAGAAATTGCGCGGCGGCGGGAGGCCCCATTAGCTAAAGTGGCACCTCAGGTTAAGAACAGTTTCAGGTTAAGAACAGACCTCCAGAACGAATTAAGTTCTTAACCCGAGGTACCGCTGTACTAAAAACAAAGACTGTACAGTATGTGGTTAAGTGATCTTAAGTGTGACAACCTCTTTTGCCCTTTTCCAATCCTGCAAGACCTCTGTCATCACCTTCCCATTTTTCCCTGAGTTTCTGGTTCCTGGCCTCTGAACAGCATTTAGAGCTGACCTTGCTGTGTTTGGGATCCATATTAGCTGGGAGCTGCCAGAAATTGTCCACTGAAACTATCAACTTAATGTAGCCATTCAAAGGGCAAAGGGCATACTAAGAACCAATAGTAAAGAATATATAATGCCTCATTTACAATTATATTCTGCCTGCCTTTTGAATATTGAGCACCATTTTTGGTTGCTGTCGTATGGAAAGGATTTAGTAGAATAAATTGACCAGGAACATGGACCAGGGGCCTTAGATAGCAAAAGGGAGAGATGGATGGTAGTACTATATCTGCATAGTACTGCTCTATAGCAAAAGTGAACGAGGAGATGCTTACTTAAACACACAGGTTTTTAAACAGATGGAAGGAGATACTTTTACACAACTCACTATTAACCCACAGAACTAATTATATCGGGAAGGAGTGAAGGCTAACTTGCAACCAAAAAGGGTTTTTATATTTTCACAGAAGTGCATCAGACCAAAATGTCCAGAGGCTTGGAATGTGGATTAAATTCTGCATAAGCCTTATGTATACCTCTTCTGAAATTGCCAATACTTCCTGCTTTCAGAAAAAGGGTTGAAAACATCAATCACTTTCTAATACATAGGATTCAGAACAATTATTCACCATGGGGCCAGTTCTCAAACACACACTAATGAGAACAACACAATCCTATAAAACTCTACTCAGAAGTATGTCCTGTTGAGCTCTATGGGACCTGATCCCACATAAAGACGTGTAGGATTGTAGCCCTCAGTGCCTAATCTAGGTTCCAGTCCCACATCCAAGCTTAAGTGAAAGCATTAAGATAAAAGCCAATTCATTCCCATGGCTCCAAGTCCCTATCTAGCTGCCCATGCTGGTCTTGGAACTCACATTCCCATTTCTTGCCAAAAAGGTCCTGAACTTTGAGCAAAACAAAGCATTGCAATTCAAATTAAGCATGTTTATGAAAAATGGCCTTATCTTCTAGTTAAAAGCAGTTTTATTCTTTGTTTTAGTTTTAAAGTCCAAAACAGAATCAAAAGCTTTAGATCTCAGCCAGAAGCAGATTTCACACAAACACAGAAAAGTTAACCAAAGAGGAAGGAACTCTGGTGTTTTCCAGGGACGCTTAAAGCAAGCTAGGTGTCTAGCAGCACCAGATTTGCCAATCTGCAGCTGCTTTTTAAAGCATTGGCTGTTGGTGGAGGGTTTAAAGTGCCAGTTGAATTCTAGTGA